GTGCCATAAAATAATAATGATGTGCTACATTAGTAGCCTACACACTCAGCTTGCTACCTTCTCCTAGCCATGCCCCTTCATGTTCATGGGGGAAATAGTAACAAAAGGATTGCACCATTCTAGTGGCCCCAGGGGACGCCCACATCTCTGGGGCTACCTTCAGAGATGATCCAAGGACCCATGGTTGTCAAGAGGCATTTTATAATGGTCTATCAGCCAACACTGAGTGATTACTAGATCCTAGCAATGCTAAGCCCATTACATGATTATCTCACTGATCCTCACAACAAGCCTATGAGCTAAATGTTATTAATATCTTTATTTTAGAAACCTAGAAATAATCAATCCAAGAAATGATTAAACATTTCTGTGCATAGAATCTATCCTTGGCAAAATTATGCACAGATGAGGGCAGATAGGGAAGGAAAATACTGGTTTTTTAACACCTATAACATGCCAGACACCTTACCTCATTCATGGCTAACCAAATCTGACAAGGTACGTACAGAGTACAAAGTGATGGAAACACGAAATTGAAACAGATTTTTAACCTATCCTGGACATTCTGAATCAAAAGCCCAGGGTCTTACTTCCAGAGGATTCTGAAGAATTGGGACATTGAAGGGTCCTCTAGGGTTAGTGTGAGGATAGACCCAGCCTCTTAGGGAAGTCACTTTCACTTCCAAGCTAGCCAGCCTTTATGGACTGGGTGATAACGGTGTTAGAGGGACCCAAGGGGATCCCGAGACTGGACAGCTTATTCCAGTAAACTTCACCATTGGCAAAGGCCCTTCACCCAAAACCAATAAACACTTCACATGCCAGGCTTTGTGTGAGGCATCAGAATCACAAAAATGAAATCCATTCTCTGCACTCAAGGAGCTGACAGTCTAATGCGAAGGCATATCCTGGAAAAACATACTCTTGGGCATGAGCATAAACACATAAGCTCAGTCACCGTTGACGCCACTATGTGCGAAGCACTGTGTCACACTTCACCAAGCTTGTGTTTTCACAGAGCAAACCTAACCCATTTTAATATATAGTTATTTCTAGCTCCTTGGGATTATCAAATTATTTGAAGATGAAGATTTGAAGATGGAGGCTTTAACACAAGTTATATAGTTCAAGAGCTGTCAAGAAGGTAGTCATCCAAAAAGCTGCACATTTTCCAACTAGTCTATCCTTATATCTGCCCCTCCCAAGATCATTTGAACATCTGCTAAACACCTATTAGGCATCAGGTAAATTTCTGTTGAATGAATGACCATACTATTTGAAAGGAATTACATAAACTCAAATACAAAATCAAGAAGCAATGACAGTTTTGTCACTACCCTGATTTCAGAAAGTGAGACTGGCCAAGATTAACACATTGGACTAATGGATGACAGGCCACAGTCACAAAACATATTCCACTACTTCCCACCATCAGTGAGGAAATTTGTACAGCACTAAGGAGAAGGCTCGTTTGGTAGCTCCACCTTGGATGACCTGGAATGATGGGAGCAAACCCTCATCTCGGGTACTATGATGAGAGACTCACTGTTTGCATGCCTTCTGGTAGACTGTACGGCAGCCAGGGAGTAAGTTCCCCACTACATTTGTGGGTATATGCATTGACATGGATTTCCTCATTCCATTGTAGGGAAAAAAAATACAAGCCCCTTCTTTGAGTAGGAGAAAATGAATAGAAGAGTCTCTCTCTCTCTATATGGAACAAATCACTTAAATAAGAATGCTTTATTGGGGCGCCTTGGTGGCTCAGTTGGTTAAGCAGCTGCCTTTAACTCAGGTCATGATGCCAGGGGCCTGGGGTCAAGCCCCTGAACAAGCTCCCCGCTCAGTGGAAGTCTGCTTCTCCCTTTACCCCTCCCCCAGCTCGTACTCCCTCTCCCTCTCTCTCTCTCTCTCTCTCTCAAATAAATAAAGGCCAAAATTCAGTTGCAAGGCAGGCACTGTTGGGTGGGGTAGTGTACCATCAATCACATTTTGTGTGGCAAGTACAAAAAAAGAAAGAATGCTTTATATATTCTTTGTGCTGGCAAGAAAAATAAAGAATACAGAAGGTTTACTTCTCGGGAAGCTAAAAAAACCTGTTTGCTGATTAATGAAATTGAGGTAAAAGCATCAAATATGATTAGATTTACTATTAAGTCCCCCTCATAAGTGATACATCTCTCTTCTGTTTTCCTAGTTTTCAATCTAAAGAGACAATGATTCTTGCTAAATTGTTTTACTCATGGAGCCCATCCTAACCCATCTAAAATAGGATCATCTATGATTCTATAGACATCAAGGTTTGTGAAACCGGTTTTATGCAATCATGGGCAGTCATAAAACAGAGTAGGTGATGCTATTAGGCCAGAAACTGTACCTGTTGTTAATCTCCTCAGATGGGGAATTAGCTGAAATTGAACTTGCAATATCGTTCTTTCCTGACTTAAACTGAATCCTTTGTTTCAACAACAAAAACATTCAATAAGCTGAATCAAATAAAAGGGTTTTCAAAAGTCCGCAAACTTGAAACACTATATATAGTCTTGTGCTTTTACAAAACCGTATTCCTCAGGGTTCCTGAAGTTGGTCATAAAGAATTCTCACGTAGGATATAAGCTGGGGTTGCGTTGCTTCTTCTGCAAATGTGGGGCGGACAGTTTCCAATTTATTTCCACCAATAATAACTGATTACCATGTATTTAGACCTTGTTATATTGTAAGTGCTAGCTGCTTTGCAAACATTTATTTAATCCTGACAGAAACCCCGTGAGGCAGCCATAATCTCTGCTTTACACATGAGGGGGCAGGTCCAGAGTGGTTCCTGCCACACATAACATGACTGATGATGGGGCACAACCCCAACAGCCCCTGCCTTGCAACTGAATTTCGGCCTCGATAGCAAATGCCCAAATTTAATTATCCAACATTAATCAAACTCTTAGTTGTCTGTGGTAAAAAAAAATACCATAAACACTTGTCCCCAGATATTACAGTTGAAGACCATTTGAACGACCCTACCGAACATACAAAGGCGAAAAGATGGTTAGGTGAGGGTCACATAAAAGCCAATGACACCCTATTATGTTCTCCCCTTTCTTGAGAGCAGAAAATCACCCCAAATATTTTGTAAGTCTTTTGTTAAATTTTGGTTTATTTTTTAACCTCATAACAATATGAAACAGCTTAATTGCCTAACCAGTATCAGGCAATGATGAAGTACATGAAGAAAGAAATATTCCCCATGCACTTCGGTTACCTACCAGCTACAGCCCTTCGCAGCAGCTCTAATTGGCCCTTTCTGGCTCTACATTCCTAATTTGTATGTCTACACGGTCTTCTGAAAATACTTTTTGAATCCAAAAATGAGACCAGAAATCCTGAGCAATTCAGGAGTCTTGACCTTCCTACACATCTACTCCCTGCACTGGCAGGAAAAAATCGGAGCTAGGAGTATATGAAATAACTTAATACTTTACAAAGCATCCTTCCCATTGGATAGAAAAACAGGGAGGATCCACACACCTTGTAAGTCAGTCAGGAGGCAAAAAAAAATCCTGTTAAGACTGGAACTAAGGAGGGGCACCTGGATGGCTCAGTGGTTAAAGCCTCTGCCTTCGGCTCAGGTCATGATCTCAGGGTCCTGGGATCGAGTCCCGCGTCGGGCTCTCTGCTCAGCAGGGAGCCTGCCTCCTCCTCCTGTCTCTCTCTCTGCCTGCCTCTCTGCCTGCTTGTGATCTGTCTGTCAAATAAATTAAAAAAAAAAAGACTGGAACTAAGGAGTCTCCATCTCCAATGGCCAACTGTCCCTGTACACTGGCTCAGACTCAGGGAGTTAAATTTTTTTTTTTTTGTAAATTTTTTTTTTTAAGATTTTATTTATTTATTTGACAAATAGAGATCACAGGTAGGCAGAGAGGCAGGCAGAGAGAGAGGAGGAAGCAGGCTCCCCGCTGAGCAGAGAGCCCGATGTGGGGCTCGATCCCAGGACCCTGGGACCATGACCTAAGCCGAAGGCAGAGGCTTTAACCCACTGAGCCACCCAGGTGCCCCAGGGAGTTAATTATTAAAAAAAGAAAAAGAACCCAGGATCTGATCTGTCTAGGAGCTGTGCAATGAGAAAACTGAGGGGAAAAGACTACTGGTCAGAATTTTTTAAACAGAATTCAAGAATTCTACCTCTTAATCTGGCTTTGCCCAAGACAATGGGATCATATCACCAGATTACCAACATGGCTGAATTTAAGACATACAAGCATTAGAATGGCCAATCTCTAGACTGGGTGCCTCTATCCCATTTCTACTCTGTTACAATTCTTCTTGGAGAGCAGACACCTCACAGTATTTCCTACAGTCTTATAGGAAATCTTTATGAGTCTGTCAAGAATAATAATCCTGAAAGAACTTTATAAGATATCCCATACAGCAGGCACCAGTCACGTGTAGCTACTGAGTGCTTGGCAAGTGGTTAAAGCAACTAAGGAACCAGGCTTTAAGTTTCATTTCATCTCAATACAAATTTATTTAAATAGCCACATGTGGCTACTGTATTAGAAAGTAGTCCTAAATACTACGAAAGTTAATTTTCAGCAAATAAAAATGCATTTTTAAAAACTGAGCTTTTTCTTTCTTAACAGCCAACAAAACAGCCAGGAAATCACATTATTTGTTCAAAAAGAATCTTTCTCTGGATAAATCCGTGAGGCCAGGAATGACTTATTGCCACCCAGTCAGGAAAGAGGAAATAGGCACATTCAATGGCTAGCTCAGCTTCAAGCTCTCAGGTGTTCTTATTCCCAGCATTTCTCTTTCTGTTTGCCTCTGAAGCTATTCCAATCTTACCTTAATCAAAAAAAAAAAAAAAAAAAAAAAACATTTCTTCTCCATCATTGGCAGCATCTCATTGGGCAGAGGGAATGAGCTGGGGATCAGGACCTTCCTATCATCTAACCTGGAAGGTTGACTTTTTCCAGACATAATGGCAGACACACCAAAGAAAACTTTGTAGCCACCCCATCATTGTAATGGCCCAGTAAGAAAAAGAAAAAAAATTTAAAAATAAACAGCCTTTGAAACTCAAGAGGAAGATGGACTTGGGACCGAAAAGGAAGAGAGGAGGGCCTTTTCCCCTGGATAGTTTTTCCAAGTCCACCCATGAGGAAAATCTTCAACTTTAGGAGACTCGAAAGACTTTTCTATGTGAATTTTCTGGTGCTGACTGAGATAGGCACTTCTGCTGAAGCATTTCTCACAGTCAGTGCATTTGTAAGGTTTTTCTCCCACATGAGTCCGCCGGTGCCTGATAAGATTAAAGCTCTGACTGAAGCACTCGCCGCAGTCGGGACACTTATAAGGTCTCTCTCCTGTGTGCGTCCTTTGGTGAATCACCAGGGTGGAACTCTGACTGAAAGTTTTCCAACACTCTGAACACCGGTAAGGTTTTTCTCCCGTATGTGTTCTCTGATGTCTAATGAGATGAGAGCTGAGACCAAAACGCTTTCCGCATTCACAACATTTGTACGGTTTCTCCCCTGGCTGGAGTCTGCATTCCTCTATCACACCGCAGTTCTGACTCGAGCTTTCCTCATATTCGGAACTTTCATAGGGCTTTTCGCCTGTGTGGGTTTTCCGGTGTGTAATTAGGTTTGAACTTCGACTGAAACTCTTCCCGCATTCTGTACACTGATAGGGTTTTTCTCCCGTATGAATTCTCTGATGCTTTATTAGGGTCGAATTACAACCAAAGTTTTTTCCACACTCAAGACATTTGTAGGGCTTCTCACCTGTGTGTGTCCGCTGGTGGCGAATCAGGCTGGAACTCTGACTAAAACTCTTTCCACAGTCAGGGCACTTATAAGGCTTTTCTCCAGTGTGAATCCTCTGGTGCTCTATTAGGACGTAACTGTGGCTGAAGCATTTCCCACAAACAGGACATTCGTATGGCTTTTCACCGGTATGTGATCTGTGGTGCTGAATCAGGTGGGAGCTGCTACTAAAGCTCTTCCCACACTCAGGACATTTATAGGGTTTCTCTCCTGTGTGAGTCCTCTCATGGATAATGAGATGGGAGGTATTGCTGAAGCTTTTCCCACATTCACCACACTGGTAGGGCTTCTCTCCCGTGTGCGTTCTCAGATGTTGAATCAGGTGAGAGCTGTTACTGAAGCATTTCCCACACTCAGAGCATTTATAAGGTTTTTCTCCTGAGTGGGTTCTCTGGTGAATACGCAGATGCGAACTGTTATTGAAGCTTTTCCAACATTCAGGACATTTGTAGGGTTTGTCTCTGAAGGTTGAATTCTGCTGGACAGAGCCACTGCACTGTTCCCCTGGGTCCCAATTCCAGTGATTGGGTTTTTCATCTTTTCCTGTGGAATTTCCCTGAGTCTCTGACTTGCCACCATTCTCATAGGAATCATTACACCAGATCTCATCTCCTTGGGACCATGTCAATGAAATTTCTTTTGTATCCTCATGCTTACAATTTTGCAGGCCATCTCTTTTAGACCACTTTGAGGCTCTCTCTTTCTCTGCCTTGGAGTTATTGTGTTGAGCAGTTTCCAAATTATTCTTACTTTCATGTCCTGTAAGAATAAACAAATGTTCTAAATACATTCCCTAATCTCTGCTGGGGGAAGGAAATTCTGAATTGCAGTGGAAGGGAGGGAATAACAGAGTAAAACCTCATAAATTCTTTTATATTAAAAGAAAGTTTAAAACTGGTTTTATTTTTTTATACTCTAACTGTTCAGGAGAAGCAAGTGAATTTTTTGTGCTTGGTAACAACACTAATGAAGTATTTGAACATTACCAAGGGGGGGGGGGGCTTACTGATCTAAAAACTTCATTAAACTTTATTCTAGAAGACCTAAAAGAAAAAAGGGGATCTGAGTAGGGGAGAAACTAAATAAGACACATTCTAAAGGGAAAACTTGATGATACTTTAGTTAAAATCTGAGAAAATACAGAAATAACAATGATACCTATTATTTATTAAGAACAATAGCTTGGCATGTAGTATCTTGTTAATCCTAAAAAATATGAGACAGATATTCATTTTTCTTAAAGATGAAAAAACTGAGGTTGTAAAAGTTAACATGGTTTGTAGGCAACTGAGCAGGAATCAAAGTTGGTCGGATTCAAATGCTCTGTTCTTTCCACACAGTCTATAGCACTCCATGGCACATCTTACATTGAATTTCCAGTGGATTCAGATCAACTTCTTGATCTCTCACCTGTAAAAGGGCTTTTCAAATTCTCCCTCTCCTTGAAGCCACTAGAGTCTGAGACCAACAGTTTTTGCTCTTGCTCCATCAGTGGTCACACCAGGGTAGGGATCAGAAATCCTGTGGAAGGAAACAGGTTATGCTTGCAGGCATCAGCTAAAATGTATTCTTTTTCTTTCCTTCCCAACCATTGCAGCATAACCACAGGAGGCACAGAGTGCCCCAGGCTGAAAAAAAGAAACATGGTCTTTTGAAATCTTTTTGGGGGAAAAAAAAAATCTTATCTCAGACACAAGTGTTTCAAATTAAGGTTAACCCAATTTACTTTTTCTAAGGAAATGCCAATAAAAAAATTAAATCCTCACATTAAAGTCTGAGGATCAAGCTTCAAAAACAGAAGGAATACTAATATTCATTGTCCACTCAGAGTTTAGATAGTTTTAATTGAAAACATGAAGGGTTTTTTTGGAAACAGTAACAATAGCAGGACTTCAAAAAAAATGGATATGCAGGTCTAAGAAGCTTGTTCAGAAAGAAAAGCTGGCCCTTGACAGAAAGATGAAACACTTGAAGTTCAATTTCAAAATGAAGTTAGAATTTATATCAGGAAAAAAAAAAAGAAGAAGAAAAAGAAAAAATAGGACAAAGCAGGGCCAGAATAGTTATAGCCTATAACCCCTAAAGATAAAAAGTAAGGTAATAAGAGAACTCTTCCTTGCCTCTTACTTTCTCAATCTATCATAATCACAATATTCCTTTTAGCCTAAACTTTATCTTCTGGAGTCAGCTAGGATTCTTGACCTACTTTAAGGTACTGATCTATCACTGGAAGGCAGGTATATATGGGCTTGCAATCCATTTCAGGATATAGAGCATTATTTGGGGAAAACAAGAGCCTAAAATAAGGATGTACAAAGGCACACGTGGAAAACAGAACAAAACAAAAAATTGTTTGGGGGAGTATAAAAAAGGTGTAATTTTTACTTAATCACTGCCTATTATGTGCCAGGAAGTAAGCTAAATACTTTACTCTCATTTAAATTTCATAATAGCCCTTGGAGGTCTATAAACAATTACCAGCATGTTATTATAGATTAACAAAAAAGACATTAATAAACTTTCCCAAGGTCATGCAACCAGAAAGCGGTAGAGCACAATTCAGTCCTAAGCCTGTTTGGATACGGACTTTCACTCTTACCTATGACAGTAAACAAGAGGAGGCGGCAGAGCTGGGCATAACCGCAAACTGCAAATGAATCTCAAAGAGCACCTTTATTTTGGAAAACATTAACCGGATTAAAAAAAAAAAATCTACATCTGTAGCCGTGATATCAAACGGAGCTGGCATTCCCTAAGCACTCTCAGCAACTAGGGATTTGTTACAGGAAAAGGTGACGCTAGTCTAAATGACAAATAGCCCTAGCGTTTGGCCGGGGGTGTCAG